TATGAGGATGTGTCATGACAACTATGCAAAAATGCTATAGCAGAAAAAATGAACTTAGCTTGCAAAAAGTAAACATGCAACCTATTGGGCCTGAACAGAAACCCAGTGCAAGAAAACTCAGCCTCACAAGTATTTCGTGCTATAGGAGACCTCAGGATCAATTCAGTGGAAATAAAAACTCAATGTAGTTTATGATAAAACAACAGTGAGACTTTTAATTTTAATTTTTTAAATTTTTTTATTATTTTTTATTTTTAATTGTGGTAAAATACATATAGAATTTACCATCTTTTCCATTTTTAGATATACAGTTCAGGAGTATTAAGTACATTCACATTGCGCAGCCAGCCTCCAGAACTCTTTTCATCTTGCAAAACTGACTACCCATTAAACAATTCCCCATTGCCCCCATCCTCTCTCCTGGTAACCACCATTCTTTCCATCTCAATGAATTTGACTACTACAGGTGCCTCTTAAGAGCAGGATCATAGAAGTCTTGTCTTTTTGTAACTGGCTTATTTCACTTAGCATAATGTCTTCAAGTCTCACCTGTGTTGTAGCATGAGTCAGAATGTTTTCCTTTTTAAGACTGAATAATATTGTTTTTAAACTTATTTATTTAAATTCAGTTTAGCAACATATAGTATAACACCCAGTGCTCATCCCATCAAGTGCCCTCCTCAGTGCCTGTCACCCAGTCACACAATCCCCCCATCCATCTCCCCTTCTGCAACCTTTTGTCTGTTTCCCAGAGTTAGGAGTCTCAAATGATTTGTCTCCCTCTCTAATTTTCCCCACTCAGTTCCCTTCCTTTCCCTTTCACTATTCCTTATATTCCACATATGAGTGAAACCATATGATGATTGTCCTTCTCCGATTGACTTATTTCACTCAGCATAATACCCTCCATTTCCATCCACATCGAAGCAAGTGGTGGGTATTCGTCCTTTCTGATGGCTGAGTAATATTCCATTGTACGTTTAGACCACATCTTCTTTATCCATTCATCTGTCCAGGGACATCATGACTCTTTCCACAGTTTGATTATTGTGGACATTGCTGCTATGAACACTGCTTATGGCATTCCACTACAGTATCTTTGGGGTAAATACCCAGTAGTGCAATTGCTGGGCCATAGAGTAGCTCTATTTTTAACTTCTTGAGGAACCTCCACACAGTTTTCCAGAGTGGTTGTACCAGTTTGCATTCCCACCAACAGTGCACAAAGGTTCCCCCTTCTCCACATCCTCTCCAACATTTGTTGTTTCCTGTCTTGTTAATTTTTAGCCATACTCACTGGTGTGAGGTGGTATCTCATTGTGGTTTTGATTTGTATTTTCCTGATGGCAAGTGATGTGGAGCATTTTTCTCATGTGCTTATTGCCATGTGTATGTCTTCTTTGGAGAAATGTTTGTTCATGTCTTCTGCCCATTTCATAACCGAATTGTTTGTTTCTTGGGTGTTGAGTTTGATAAGTTCTTTATAGATTTTGGATACTAGCCCTTTATCTGTTATGTCATTTGTAAATATCTTCTCCCATCCTGTAGGTTGCCTTTTAGTTTTGTGCCAGTGTACTTTGAAAAGTGGAAGCTATTTATCTTGGTGAAGTCCCAGTAGTTCATTTTTGCTTTTGTTCCCCTTGCCTTCATAGGTGTATCTTGCAAGAAGTTGCTGTGGCCAAATTCAAAAAGGTTGTTGCCTGTGTTCTCCTCTAGGGTTTTGATGGATTCTTGTCTCACACTTAGATCTTTTGACCATATTTTAGTTTATCTTTGTGTGTGGTGTAAGAGGATGGTCCAGTTTCATTCTTCTGCACGTGGCTGTCCAATTTTCCCAACACCATTTATTGAAGAGACTGTCCTTTTTCCAGTAGGATATTCTTTCCTGCTTTGTTGAATATTAGTTGACCATAGAGTTGAGGGTCCATTTCTGGGTTCTCTATTCTGTTCCATTGATCTATGTGTCTGTTTTTGTGCCAGTACCAGACTGTCTTTATGATCACAGGTTTGTATAAGACTGAATAATATTCTAATGTATAGTATTGTTTCTCTTCCATCCCTTGATAAACATCTGGGTTGCTTCCACTTTTTGGCTACTGGAAATAGTGCTGCTATGAAGATGGGTATAGAAATATCTCTTTGAATCACTGCTTCAATCCTTTTGGGTATATGGCCCAGAAGTAGAATTGCTAGGTCATATGATAATTCCATTTTTAGTTGTTTGAGGAGTCACCATACTCTTCTGTAGCAGCCATGCCATTTTACATCCTCACCAACACTTGTTATTTTCTGGAGTTTTTTGACAGTAGCCATCCTAATAGATCTGAGTTGGAATGGGAGTTTTAAAAGATAGACTGAAGAGGGGTGCCAGCGTGGCCCAGTTGGTAAGCATCTGACTATTGATTTTGGCTCAGGTCATGATCTCAGGGTTGTGAGATCAAGCCACATTGGGCTCCGTGCTCAGAGGGAGTCAGCTTGGGATTCTCTCCGTCTCCCTCTGCCCCTCCTGCTCTCTCTAAAAAAATAAATGAATAAATCTTAAAAAAAAGATTGAAGAGCCAAGAAAAGAATTTGAGGGAAACAAAACCCCTATGAGATTTGACCAGGAAAAAAAAAACAGCATAAGCATAACCATCAAATGAATAGAAAAAAGGCATGAGATGATCACAGGAAAAGAGTAAAGTAATAAGGCAGAAAATGATAGTCATGGTGATGGGGAAAGGAGCATCTGGAACAGAAAAAGAATGCAGAAATACAACCCAGGAAAATTTTTCTGAAAGACAGGAAGAGTTAAATCTTTGGTCAGAAGATCATCTTGAAAACAGATAGAGAATGACCAAGACCTATCCTTATCTAAAGATTTCTCTCTCCCCTTCTCTGCCTCTTGCCCCCTGCTCGCATGCATGCATTCTCTTCTTACTAAAAAAAACAGACAAACAAAAATGATATAGGCAAGAAAAATCATGAGATACGAGGAAAGGAAGAGGAAATGTCAAGTGTTATACAGTGTTAATGTGAGAATACATGGTTTATGTCTTAAATTTTCATATATTTTTTATTGGCATTAAATCGTGTGTGTGTGTGTGTGTGTGTGTGTGTGTTTTGGTGGTGGTGTTTGAATATTTAACTATAGGTCAGAAAGCCATTTAGTACCCCGTCTGTTTCTTTTTTTTTTTCCTGTTATATTCAAACAAAATTAAATAACCCTTATGAGAAAAAAAGCAGTTAATACAGAATACATGCATGAAGAGATGTCCAGAATGATGTTCACCAACTCTAAGTACATATTGGATAACTTGTTTTTTCTCTTGTACTTTTTTATGTTGCTTGAATTTTTTAATGAACCTGCATAAAAGTGTCCATATTTTTATACAAGCCATAAAATCATTACTGTTAATATAAAATATTGGTCAGTAGTAGCATCATTATTTCAGTTGTTTCCTAATCATTTTTTAAAAATTACAGTCTTGACAAACACCAGAAAGAACCCTTGACAGTATTTTTTAAACTTGTGGCTAAGATATTTGCAACTGCTTTGGGATAAAAGGCATGTGCAGTGAAAACAGCTATTCCAATTGGGTGTTTTTTGCCTTCTTATTGAATACATAAATCTAAACAATGAGTGGTGAGTGTGAAGTGGGATTGACTCAGATTCCCATGATGCTGGTGACAGAGAATGTAGTACAAGTGTAGTGCTGTTGTACACATGACTGAACCAGGAATATGAAAACCTCACTTCTAGTTCTGTCCTAACCAATAAGCAGCACCAGAATTTTGAATGTTTAGCGTCCTTCTCAATCTCTGCACTTTTGCTACACTGAACTTCTTTTTTTTTTAAAAAAAAAAAAAAGATTTTATTTATTCACGAAAGAGAGAGAGAGAGAGAGAGAAAGAGAGTGAGAGAGAGAGAGGCGGAGACACAGGCAGAGGGAGAAGCAGGCTCCGTGCAGGGAGCCTGATGTGGGTCTCCATCCAGGGACTCCAGGATCACGCCCTGGGCTGAAGGCAGGCGCTAAACTGCAGAGCCACCCAGGGATCCCTGAACTGCTTTCTTTTCTTGAATTTGCTGTGATCTTCTGCTTCCGGGCCTTTGCATAGGCAATTTCCTTTGCTGAGGGCATGCTTCCTTACCTTTCCCTTCATTGGATTCTTTCTCACATTCAGGGCTTAGCTTTAACCTCCTTCCTCTAGAAGGCTATCTGCATTGTAACTGATGGTACTTCTTACTGGATATGCCTGGCACATCTGTAGGCAGTCACTCAGTGTCATGGTTCCTCAGCAGACTGGCCTCGGGGAGACTGGGATCTAGGAAGTGCAAGGTCAGGTTCCCTCATTGCCCTTCTATAGCATGTGCTGTCTCTCCCTTTGCTGGGCCCAGGGTGGTAACTCTCATCCTGCTACCTCATGGCCTCTGAGTTTCATTTTTTTCTCGGCAGGCCTCTTTGGTTCTGCTTCTGTTAGAGACTGCAGTGTTTCTTGGTAATGTTCGAGTTTATCAGCAGAGAGTAGCTGTCCTGGTTAGCCCATTATCCTCCAGCACTAGCCATTCCTGCAGGAGAGAGCGCCACCCCAGTGCCAGAGGGAACTGGGGCCCAGGCTGTCATTCTTCATTCTCTTGGAACCCCCTGCCTGGCCTCTCTGGTGAAAGAGATGATAGTGAGAAAAGCATGTTATAAAGCTGTATGTGCCATGTAATGCCAAACATATGTTTTATACATAAAAGACAAAATCAAATTGTTATCACTAAGTTTCTCTTGTGGGGTTCCCAGTTATTTTTATTTTCTTGTTTTCACATTTTCTGTAATAAACATTTCCAAAGATGCTAAATGGTATTTTGTAAGCTCCTGTATGTGACCTTTTACTGAGCAGCCCCCAAGAAGACTAGGAAAAGTTGGCCCTACCATATGAAGCGTTGTGCTCTTTTCCCCACAATTTCCATTTCTGCCCCCATCTGATGTGTTTGTTTGCTCTTTTCACCCCCATATCTTTCTTTTTCCCAGATGACTGGATGACTGGTTTCCCCCCGCACATCCTCAACAGCTCACCATCGGACCGGCAGATTAACCAGCTGGCCCAGAGGCTGGGCCCCGAGTGGGAGCCCGTGGTGCTGGCTCTGGGACTGTCCCAGACAGATATCTACCGCTGTAAGGCCAATCACCCCCACAACGTGCAGTCGCAGATGGTGGAGGCCTTCATCCGCTGGAGGCAGCGCTATGGGAAGCAGGCCACCTTCTGGAGCTTATACAGAGGCCTCCAGGCTGTGGAGGTAGACCCCTCGGTGCTCCAGGACATGTTGGAATGACCCCTGCATGCTCCACGTCATCCTGTGGTTGGGGGAGTGTGTCCCCAACTTGTGTGTGCAGAATCTTAACTTTCTCCAAGGGCAGGTGGTTTTGGGGGTCTTTTCTTTTTAATGAACTTTAGATGAAAGGAGAAAATAGGATTTCTGGTATACATTACTTGAAAGGTCAGATTACTCAGTAGCTCTCCCACATTGACTTGACAATTCATTGTTTTTAACTGCTTAAAGATTGCATTGTTTTAATTGTGCAGGTTTTTAATTTTGTGGGTGCCTTTTAATAAACTGGTAAATCATAATGGCTCAAAAAAAATTACTGTGTTATCACATTACATGTAGGTGTCCTGTATATAAAGCATCCACTTCTGTATTGCCTGGGAACTGACCTATGGATTTTGCTATTAATGGGGATGATCATAAAAAGTTAATTTACTACATATAATATGGCCCTTTCGTCAGATAGGATTGTTTGTTTTTTCTCATTCCTGTAGTGCATAGATTAAGAGTGTCAAATAACGTAGTTATTTTTTTGAAACAGAATTACTAGTAATAACAAAATGGTTATTTTCTCTAGTTAAGATAAATTGCTCAGGCAGGGTGTCTACATTAAATTCAAGACAGTGAGGCTCCCTGCAAGACCAGTTCAAGTACCAGCATGCATATCTGAGCCCTTCATCTTTAAAAGATTGCTTAAGAAAATCCTGTGCCGTTTATTTAAATAATTTATTTGGGGAACAAAGGAGGATGTGGTCTTTCCATTGGGGTAGTCATGATTGAAGTGTTATGTTCCTAAGGAGTATGATTTAGTCTTCTGTCTTTTTATTAATGACACTTGGTATTTGTCAAATGCTTTACTGTTTTCAAGGTTTCTCATATATGTGGTCTCATTTGAGCCTCACAAAAATCCTGTGAAGTGGTTGGGCAAGAGAGGTGAGCCTCCTTCTGTAGTGAGATCAAGTGATTTTTCTGGGGGTGAATTGTCTAGAATGTCCAATGTCTTTGGAGCACTTCTCCTTTCCAACTGCTCCATGCTGATTCTCCTCCTCTCTCTCACATGCTCCTTGAAGAAGCTTGAGTCCTGCTCTTCTCCTGCTAGCAGCATTGCCTTGGACAAGTTGCTCCTCTTCTCTAATCCTCTACAAATGAGGACATGAGCGTCCCCTCCTCCAAGGTTTTTGTAATAATTAAAAGAATGTCTGCCAAGGGTTCATCTAGTGCCTGGTCTTTAGTCAGTTCCCAGGAAATGGTAGCTGCTAATTTGCTGCTGTGGCTGCATGTGGCTCAAGTTCAGAGGCAAAGCTGAATAGTGGCTAAAGCTGAAGAGACTGCAGGAGGAAGTGCTGTTACCATGTTTCCTGCTAAGCTTTAACATGTGATATAATTTACTGACTCTCCCATGGGTCCAATCAACAGAGAGGGAGAGATAAATATTCCCACTCTGTGATCTGTTCTGAATAACTGGGGAGTCTGTTTCCTAATCCTAACCAAACTCAGGACTTTTTTCAAAGGGAAAAAAACTATACTTTTTACCTCTCTCTATTCCAGGACAAGCATATAGAATGGTAGAGTTGAATGTGAAGTGGGTGCTCAAAAAGGTGACAGTGGCATGTCGATTGCATTCTCTCAGATGTCTGGCAACCATATTCCCTTTACTGAAAAAAGATCAATTACTTTTTACAGTTCAACAAACGGTTCAAAATGATGGTCTTCTGGCCTCATAAGTTCTAATTTTCCATTTTGTAGCCCAGCCATTAATTCATTGTCTTCTAAAATTTATAGACTTCTGGCCCCATCACTGAGCTAGTGATAGCCTGACTTCTCTGCATCTTCAGCCAATTGCCTGTCATTCTGAACCTTGGACTTATTACATTGCTATTTGCCCCCCTAAGTTTGCTAATAGAGAGTTGCTTGGACTTTTGTTCTCACCACATTTATAGCCACGTGAGTAAGGCTGGGCTTTGCTGCATCTGACTAAATGGCATTTTAGAAGTGGATCTGATGATTAGTTCAATTTCCCACCATTTGCTTGGAATGAGAATCTATCATGTACAAAGACACTTCAGTGCTTTGTGAGCAGCGAAGGACAATTTGTGATGGACTGGCCCATCTGGGGCTGCCAGGGTCATTAGAGAGCTCTGACTTGCTGCCCTTAATGAGCAGGGTGTCTCCACCATCAAACGGCAGCTGCACCTGCTGGGCCTGCTCACGTTCTGGCAGAAAACTTGCAGAATGCAAGAACAGAGCATCTTAGTCACTACCTTGTTTCTGCCTCTGGGTGTGGAAAGTGATACTGAATGGCATCTGCCCACCTCCCAGGAGAATCAGGTAGGTGATGTGCCTACAAGGAAGGAGTCTATGTGTTTTTGCATGGGAGAAGATTCTACAGTTCCAGAGGCTCCCTACCCCCAACAGAATTCTGGATGAGTACAGTGCAGTGGCAGAGCACTTGCCAGCACTGACCAAGAAAATATAAAATCCACTTTGGTTTGAGATGCACATGCACATGCATTCATGAGTATGCCCTCTTACTTTTTAAAAACTGTAACTTTTATGAGATTTTTTTAGGACAAAAATAGTGCATGCTCATTATAGCAGTTTAAAAAATACTAATGAGCAAGAATAAAAAAATTAAAAATTACTCCTACTTCTGTTTTCCAAAGATAACCACTGTGACATCTCACTTTTAATCTCTACCCTTAGTTACTTTCCTAGGGCTACATATTCTTTTTAAGATGAAAATAGGATTGTATCAAATCAACTATAACTATAATAAGTAGTTAAAGGATACACAACAGATGTAGGTATCACAATCCTAGTTTTCAAAACATACTGTAAAGCTGTAGTAATCAAAAGTATGGTTCTGACACAAAAACAGACACATGGGTCAATGGAACAGAATCAAGAGCCCAGAAACAAACCTAAACATACATGGTCAATTAATCCGCAACAGAGGAGGCAAGAATATGTAATGGGGAAAAGACAGTCTCTTCAACAAATGATCCTGGGAAAAACTGGATAGTTACATACAAAAGAATTAAAATGAAACATTCTCTCACACCATTCACAAAAATAATCTCAAAATGGATTAAAGACCTAAATATGAGACCTAAAACCATAAAACTCCTAAAAGAAGACACAGGCAGTAATATCATAGACATTAATCTTAACAATGTATTTATGGATCGGTTTCCTCAGGCAAGGGAAGCACAAGCAAAAATAAACTATTGAGACTACATCAAACTAAAAAGCTTCTGCACAGCAAAAGAAGCCATTAATTAACAAGACAAAGGCAACCTACTGAATGGGAGAAAATATTTGCAAAAGATATATCTGCTAAGAGGTTAATATCCTAAATATATAAAGAACTCATATAACTCAACACCAGAAAAATAATCCAATTTAAAAGTGGACAGAAGACCTTAACAGACATTTTTCCAAAGAAGACATCCAGATGGCCAACAGACACATGAAAAGATACTCAACATCACTCATCATCAGGGAAATGCAAATCCAAATCACAATGAGCTATCACCTCACACCTGTCAGACTAGCTAGTATAAAAAAGACCAGAAATAACAAGTACTGGTGAGATTGTGGAGAAAAGGAAACCCTTGTACACTGTTGGTGGGAATGAAAATTGGTGCAGCCACTGTGGAAAACAGTATGGAGATTCCTTAAACAAAAAAAAGTATCATACAATCTAGTAATTCCACTTCCAGAAATTTACCCAGAGAAAATGAAAACCCTAATTTGAAAAGCTATCTGCACCCCTCTGTTTATTGCAGCTTTATTTACAGTAGCCAAGATATGGAAGCAACCTAAGTGTCTGTCGGTAGATGAATGGATAAAGAAGAGGTGGCATACATATTCAATGGAATATTCCTCAGCTATTAAAAAGGAATGAAATCTTGTCATTTGTGACAACATAGATGAAATTTGAGGGTATTATGCTAAGTGAAAGAAATCAGACAGAAAAAGACAAGCACCATATGATTTCACTTACATGTGGAATCTAAAAAATAAGACAAACAAAATAAAATAATAACAGACTGATACATACAGAAAAGAAAATGTTGGTTATGGAGTGTGGGGGCAGGATGGGTTGGAAGGGCCAGTGAAATAGATGAGAGGGATTAAGAAGTGCCAATTTCTAGTTATAAAATACATAACTCATGAGAATGCAATGTACAGCATAGGGAACATAATAATATTGTAAAAAACTTTGTATGATGACATATGTAAACTAGATTTATCATGGGGATGACTTCATAATGTGTAAAAATATCAAATCACTATGATGTGCACCTGAAACTAATAGGATATTGTATGTCAATTATACTTCAATAAAAATATGGGATTGTATTATATGTGCTGTTTTACAGTTTGCTTCTTTTATTTAACATATAGCTGTCTTTCCATATCATTAAAGCTTTTTCCATGCCAGTGATTTTCATTGTCCTTTGTGTTTGGAGCACACTTTCAAGTCCTGTAATTTTCAGCAGCATGTTTAAAGAAATTAAGAGACTCTAGCTACTGAATTTGTAAGAATGTCTTTCACTGTCAAAACATTGGCCATTATCCTGCTATTTGCTTGACGCCCCCCCCCCCCTTTAGAACCATGTCATTGCTTGAGTAGAGCTGTTTGCTGCTCCTGCTACTGTACACTCATATCCCGAAAAAGCAAAGTTGAGCACTTTCCCATAAACATTCTGGGCTTAATCTGAGCTTTATATTTATTCCTCACAGCAGGAAGCCCTCCACTGTTCTGTGTGACCCACTTAGCTCAGTGTTCCAGTTCTACCAGTGTGTGTGTTCCGGTGGGCAGCAATATTGTGCTGCTCTGGAATTGGTGTGTGTGGCTATTGCCCTACACCATCACGTTTAGCAGTGGTATTCTGTGCCAGTGTAGGCACGTGTCATCATTTGTTAACCACTTTCCTATTACATGAGATGGATCTTTAAGTGCTTTATTGCTTTGTCACTTTTACAAACAGTGATGTGATCAGGGGAGTTCCTTGTTAAATATTTACATTCACCAGAAGTTACAATGAGATGGATCCCTCTTTTGTTTAGCTCCAGACATATTTAAATTTTATTATCAATTAGTTTTATTAAATAACAAACCACCCCAACATGTGTTGGCTTAAAACCTACTTCACAATTCTGGGAGCCAGCTGGACTGTCCTGATCTGGGTCAACTCAGCTAATCTCTGCTGGATATCCATGCATCTGGGGTCAGCTAGTGGGCTGGCTGAGGCCAGATGATCAGGAGAGCTTCACTACATGCCTGGTAAGTGGTGTGTTCCTGCCTGCAGCAACAGAGGTGTCTCAGTTATACATCTCTACTCATAAAGTTTGCCTTGCCTTCTTCACTGGGCAGTGGTGGCCATGGTCCCATGGGCAGCAAGAACAAACCTCAGTGTGCAAGCACTTTTCAGGCCTCTGTTTGCATCCCTTTTCTTGATACTTGGTTGGCTGAAGCAAGTCCTAAAGCCAGCCCATCCAGAGTCAATGTGGGAGGGCACTACCAAAGAGCATTGGAGAGGAAGTGGAATAATTCAGGTACATTTTTTTTGCCATCTACTACAGCCAGTATTTTAAAATTGAGATTTCTGGGTCCTATTGAAAAAGTTTGGCTATTCTGGATCCCCCTTGTCACATGGCAATAACGGGCAGACACATTGCAGAGTCCACCATCCTTACCTTCTCATCCAGCTCCTCTCCCTGTTGCTTTACCTACTCAGCCCCCACAGATACTTATATTTATGGCCTCTAGGGATATAGCAAGGAAGATTCTTAAGATACGCTCCTAGAAGTATTGTCCAGTTTACAGTTGTGCATATTTTGAAAAACTACAATGACTTTTCTAAAACTTTTAAAAATTTTGAAAATTTTTGCTTGAGCAAAACACAATGGGTTGGTTTTATTTATTTATTTTTTAATGGGTTGGTTTTAAATGCCAGTTAATTCCCCCAAACTTCAGTGGTCCCTGAGGAAGTTCTTGCTGGGGCACACGTACATACACATGTACACACACACCACCACCACACACACACAAACAACTGAGGCAGTAAAAAGAGTCTCTCTTCATCCCTTTCTCTGGAGATTTCCCCAGAAGTGGTAGTTTTGGAAACAGACTCCTCTCATTCAGCTCTTCAGCAGACACTTATTGAGAAGCTACTATAAGCCAGTCACTGCAAAAAGATGACTGATAAATACACAGTTCTCCAGGAACTTACTGTTTGGCCGATGAGACTAACGTGGATTGGATCTCCAATCACAATAAGACATAATAAGGTCCATGCCAGAGTGCCTATGTGCCCAGTCTACGGGAACACAGAGGAGAAAGAATTCATTCTACCTTGATTCAGATGTGGGAGGTGTGGGGAATATTTGCATGAGGCTCCCTCACTTGGACACATTTCTGTGCCATTTTCCTCATATATAAAATAGGTAAGATAACCATACCCACCTACAGTTACAGCAAGGATCCCATGAGATAAAAGCTTCTAACAGTGTCAGGTATGGAAAAATGTTTTGCTAAATAATTGAGCTGAATTATTTTAGCTACCAGGGTTTTTCTTATACTCCTCACCCTTCCAGGGCCCTAAGAAGTGTGAGGGTCAAAATCACCTTTTCCTGCTGTGAGTTACAGTATAGAAATAGAAAGTGCACAGTCCTTCAGTACTTTTACCAGGACTCTAAAAATTAGGATTATGAACTGGTAGGCACACTTCAGAGGATATTCAGAATTGGGATGGGATTCTTTTTTTTTTTTTTTTAATTTATGATAGTCACAGAGAGAGAGAGAGGCAGAGACACAGGCAGAGGGAGAAGCAGGCTCCATGCACCGGGAGCCCGATGTGGGACTTGATCCCGGGTCTCCAAGATCGCACCCTGGGCCAAAGGCAGGCGCCAAACCGCTGCGCCACCCAGGGATCCCTGGGTTGGGATTCTGATCTAACACAGGACTGTCATTAAATGAATCCCTGCATACATTGAGCTACCAATTTGTGTAAGCTACCAGAGCTTTAAAGATAAATGAGACCCAAATCCTGGCCTGTAGGATCTCAGCCTGTTGGGGAGACCAACATCACAGCCAGCAATTATGACACCATTTGGCCAGCACAGAAGAGGGAGCAATTAAGTTGGCCACAGAGGAGGTGGCACTTCAACTGGGCTTTTGTGCATCCTGCCCAAGTTTTATTTATTTTTTCTGCCCAAGTTTTAGTAAGTTGGTCCCTTTGTGGGACACTAATGCTTATAGACACCAGAATTCCACTTTATTTGATATCCAGTTTGACAAATAGCACTTCTTGCCATGAGTCTACAAGATGCTTCCATGGTGCTGTCTCAAAGCAATTTAGAAGCAAAGGGAATCTTATTTATAGACTAAGTGGCCAGTATTAACCAATTCTGTACATTGAGACAACAAGACATTGAGAAATATGGTTTATCCACAGTGGAATTGGATCGGGCTTCAGATTTTAGAGATCTGAAGGTGTATTTGGGGGTTCTTTGTACCATTCCTACCCCTTAGTTCTTCCTCTGAAAGGCCCACAGATTAAAATTAGATGTTGCTGGCATACAGGGAATGTTTTTAATATAATAACTGCCTGTTTACTTCTTAGAATCATAAACAGAGCTTAGAATAACAGGGATGTCTATCTTGTTGGCATTTACTGTTTTTGTAGGAAAATTAAAGTATCACAAAGACACAGTTCAGTGAGCCAGTTAAGCCTTGTTTGTTAAAATTATGCAAAATATATGGCAATAATTCTGAAAGCTAGTATTAATTCAAAACATAGGCCATGAAATCCAGGTTTGAGCACTTAAGAAGAAAAAAATAGACCCAACATCTTGATAATATTTATATGTCTTCATTTCATTTTCACATTCTGTCTCTGGCCAGTGCTGTTTTTAGTGTCAGATAACATTCCTAATGGAGAATATTTGTGGAAAATATTTGCCCCCATTTGTACGTTGAAATTTTAACACCCAAAGTTGATTGTCTCAGGAGGTGGAGCTTTCGGAGGTGCTTGGGTCACCGAGGTGGAGTCTTCATGAAGAGACCCCACAGAGCTTCCCAGCTCTTTCCTCTAAGCGAGGATACCCCAACTCTGAGCCAGAAGAGATTCTAGAACATGACCATGCCGGTGCCTTGCTCTTGAACTTCCCAGCTTCCAGAATTGTGAGCAGTAAGGTTTTGTTGTTTATAAGCTACCCAGTCTGTGCTTTTTTGTTATAGCAGTACAAACTGAGACAATATCAAATGGATTAGATCAAATAATTATTCTTTCTTTTGGTGGCACATGACCGACTCCTTGTCAGTTTCTAGGAGATTATTTCATCAGGACTTTGCTGATACCACAGTCTTTGGCATGACTTACCAGCTCATTGCTGATCCCAGGAAAAGACTGAGTGCCTACAAATGGAGTAAGTAAGTCCATTCATAGACTCATTATGAACTTAGTGCCTCTGGCTGTCATGGCCAAGAATGAGGGGCAGCTGTCTAGGGAATAGTTCTTTGAAGGCTCAGAGTATCTGTGATAGGTGGTGGTTCTTACTCATTTAGGGGGTATAGATCCCTTTAAGAATGTGAGAAGGCTGTGGAACCTGCAGGAAGAATGAAGGCTTCTTTGTGGCATCATTCTTTTAAAAAATGCACATGTGTACACCCACGCACACAACACTTGGCATTTAATTTTTAGGAGAGTCCCACTACATCTGAATCTAGTTCACTCACCCCAAGAACCTGAAGTCTGTAGGGTCCCTGGCATCAGACTTCATCAGCATCTAGGCCTAATTAGTCACATTTTGGTTTTGTAGAGTATTTAAAAGACTTGTGTTTAACAGAATGAAGCTAAATGTTTCTGTGGATTTCACTAGCACGTAATTCCTGGTATGAAGGGCTAACCATGTTATTGGAAGAAAGGTGAAACCATTTGTCTAAACCCTGATCTTTATATAGCAGGTCACAGATCTGCCCTATGGGAAGGCAGGCAGGTGGTTATCATGGACCCACCTCTTGGAAAGGTAAGAGCTTGCAGACACGCAATGTATGACAATCTCTAGGTTCTAAGAGCTTTCTGTCTCCACCCCATCTCTTTAGAACCAGGGATCCTAGACAGGAGAGGACTGAGACTTTTGTGTCCAGTATATTGGGAATAATTTATATCAGGGTGAAATTATATAGAGTCTCATCTACTTTATATACTGGGAAATTATTTCCAACAGTATCTTTTTGTCCAGCCATCTGCTTGAATCAAGTTTCTGCCAGCCTCTGGAAGAAGTAATTATCCCTGCTCTGAAACTGAACTCCATGCTGGCTTTCTGCTGAGGGAGTGGACCCTTTGGTTGTCTGTTT